GAGTGTCGCCGGAACTGCACATGCTCCAGAGTAAGTAGAAACTTGTGTTTGCAAGGACAACTAGATACCTGGGTCTCGTTCGAGACGTGTGTTACGAGGCTCGCTAGATCCCACGTTGCCGTGTGATGGCAGGCTTCGTAGCGTATCGAACTGGTGAGGAACCTATTAAAGTCAGCAAGAGATTGGGTTGAGCGAAGATTCGAATGCGAGATCTCTGGGAGCGAGCTGCCATTCGGCTAGAGAGAATGTGTTGCATTGCTAGAGATCTTGTTTGTACACATAGCCATAGCTGATCGGTGCAGAGTTTTGCTGTTGGTTGCAAATAGGTGAGGCGGGTAGGACATGTTTGAGCAGCAAGCATGTTCTCTGTCACACTTGAAGCTTTATTCATACTGTTGTCCTGCTAATCTTCCCAACTATCAAACCGTTTGCTACCACAGAGGCCAGTTGTCGACTCTACTGCTTGGAATGATATATTCGTTGGGATATCATCAAGCCAAGTGCCACTGCCACTGATGTACCATCGAGAAGCATGTCTGTTGGCCTTGCAGCAGATTCACTCAGAGCATGTTTGAGCAGCGAGATTCTATCAGTATCTCGTGCAGATAAGATCTTGTTCTATCAAGACCGACCATCTGATGTAGGTCCAAAGTGCAAGACAATACCTGGATACGTGTGAAGCCCTTGGAGAGGGAAAGACAAAGCGAAACAGTATATCAGATGTATAGAAAGCTCACGAAGACACATGCTGCATGCTATAGCTGATCTATGGTGCATGTTCAGGTTTGATCAAGATCTCTTTGTACGTCGACCAAGAAAGGACTCATGAATACTGTACAAGAAAAGGAGGTCGGCCAAGCCCGGAAAGTGCCGAAGATCGAGCGAATTTCATTTTTCTTCTTTTTCCGCAGACAGAATCAAATCATCCAAGCTCCGCGCTTCGAGCTTCCCGAATCATTCAACCACACCTTCAATCTTCTCCATTGCAGTCATCGCCAGCTTTATGACACAAGCAAACATGTATTTCGGCCAAACCAGCACGACATCCAACATATCAGCGCTCAGCTAGCAGATGGCTGTCGAGAAAGCACAAACAACGATGAAAGTCGCCTCGTCGGTCACTGGCAACCGCCTTTGAGAGGTAGGTCAACAAGGCAAACTGGTTGCAAGCGATGATGAAAAGAACTGCACATTTTTGGGATCAGCTTGATCTTGCTAAAGACGGACAATGTTCTTGCTTCTGTTACCCAACATCGGTCGGGTCCTTCGAATTACCAGTCATTCCAATCTGCCGACTTCAAACCATGGACCCGCAGCAGCACCAATACCATTCACAATTCTCGGACCATTCCACGATCTGGAACAACTCTTGTTCCCTTATTGTCATTCATGCTCCGGGGCCCAGCCAATCGCTCCTTCCGGATCCATGCAAGTCATGTCGTCCTCGCCTCGTTCGTCTCATCTCTCGGTGTCAACGATCTGGTGATCATGGAAGAAACCCGATGTTATCGATATCGTCAGGTTCGATTCGTGTCTTGCAGACTAGTAGCCACAGTGCATGCAAGGGACCACCGACATGCAAACGTCGATCGTCAAAGGCTTGCCAGAGTGCTGGGCCGAGTAGCCGTAACATTTCATACCGCACTCCACATTTGAGGAAGAGTCGTGACCGCACTTCAGCTTGTGACTGCCTCTGCTGCAGAAAGGAGCCATGGTTTTGACCGGCTCAACACTCTTGGCCTCCTTTCTGGCCTTATTTTCTTCTGTCTGTACATGGTGAACCAAATGACAGAGCCACTTTCTGAGCACAAGAGGAGGTGCCACGTTGTCCGTCTCTCGATTGCGCTGGAACATGCGTTTGAGAACTCCGAAAGCGTCGTCTTGCGCTGGGCGACTTAGTCCGATACAGTTGAGAAGTTCAACGAGCTCCACCGAGCGTTGCTTAGGCGGAAGCTTGCAGATTTTGAAACCAATCTCGCTGACGCGGCGAATCAGATCTTGCTTGTCTTGCTCAATACGCTGGATCGGTTGATGTGGTTGGTGCTGTCTGCCTCAAAGTCTTCCAGGTATTGTTGAATGTCGGTCCCCGAAGATGGGGACGACGTGAGCTGTCTGGAGCTTGCAGAAGTCGAGGAATCAGGTGCTGGAATCGTCGAGGTTTCTGACACCGCATGAGCAGTGTTGTCGACAGGATGAGCCCTGTTGATATCGACTGCGTGAGTGTTGTTGATCTCAACTTGGCCTGACCTGGACAACAAAAGGAGACTCTCTGCGGCATCTCTTGATCGCGCTTCCCATTGCTGAATCAGGACATCATCCTGAGGCGCATATGGACTGGGAGGAAGGCCAGGAAGTTCTTGCGGTGCCTGGGGTGGCGACGACATGTTGCCAGGGGTTAGGCAACGTCTTGGTATGGCGTTGTTGTTGTCGAAAGGCAGGAAGAACAAAGATTTGCTACAAGTCAAGGTGGAAATGCCGCACAACTACGCGCAACGCTTTCTCGGGGTGGATGTCGAAGTGAACGTTTGATATCTTTCATAAGTCGAACGTCGAAGCTCTATGCTTCTTTGCAGTCCTACGATCAAGCTGATTTCGAAAGCCAGACAATGGGATGGTATGAGATAGCAGGGGTATACGATTGCCCTTGGCCTAGATGTAGTCTTGAAGACTTGGAGGGGTCATCAAGGAAACCCATATGTGGTTTCGAAGACTTGCATAGGTCACAGAAGAGGCCCATATATACCCAATGTGAGCCTCTGGGACTCTGTTTCGACTTGCGTCTCGAAATTCGACACGATGATGTCGTTCAGGGAAGGGCTCCCATTCGTTTCCGGAACCACGGGACTTCTCACCACTTCACTGACGTTTATAAAAATCCGTTTCATCGCAATCCCTCTCTCCAACCTACCTCAACGCGCAACGACGATTCTTTCGCACAACGCAAGGTAAACATCAGAACATCTACTTGCAACACTGTTGCTGACCCGATAGAAGCATGGACGAGCACCAGAAGATAATTAACGACATGGTTGAGGAGGTCATCTACGGAATGGTCGATGAGGTTATGAGAGACGCTGTCACCAGAGCTGCTCGTACCATCATTGAAGAGGTCATCCACGACATGACCAAGACCGATTCCGCCGTCTCTGCCCTCAAAGAGACCATCAGACGCAGTCTCGATGCCAAGGTTGAGCCGTTCATCAAGGAACGCATTGAGAAGGCTGTCGACGAGACTCTTACCAAGGCCGCCCTTCAAGCCGAGCTTGAGATGGTTCGTTTTATGTCTCGTTTACTCAACTCCTTCACAACTAACATCTGTCCAGGCTAAGAAAGTCTCCGGCACTAGAGCTGCCGTCGTGAATATCCTGGAGGACCGCATGGATCTTCGCTCCCGCCAGTTCGAGGAGTTCAGCGACCTTCTCGAGTCTGTTGCCATCGATGCTGGAGAAGATGGTCTTGGCGCCAGTGGTCCTTTCACCAGCATTCTTAACCACGCCCACATGATCAATGCCAAGGATGATGAGGCTCTCAAGCAGGCCATCCACCATCTTCAGAGCGATCTTCCTGGTGATGCCGAGATCCACCAGATTGAGGAAGACATTATCAAGATGGCCGATAAGATACGGGGTGTTAAGAGGGAAGGCACTACTGACTGAGTGGGGAGAAATGAATCTAGGCGCTGTTGCCTTTCTAACCACCGGTCCCGTGGCGACGCTTAGTCAAACCTGCACCTGAGATTTATCGCACCTGCAGTCTTCCATTACGAGAAATCAAGTCTTCTGTTCTTCGTCATCAATTTTCCCTTGTGATATATGTCAATGTCCTTACCTCTTCTTGCCGTGCCAACATCTCAACTGATCTATGTGTATTTTAATGGAGATGGGCGATCCTTTCCATGACGGTTGCATTACTGTCAGAGTTGGTTATATCGACATGCTTGAATCGGTCTTGATCGAGCGAGAAGGCAGGACCCCCACTCGAGAGGAGGTGTAAAGAGAGGCCGTCAAGATGCGTGCAGCCGAAGACAGAGAGTTTGACTCCGCAACAAAGATTCTTTTCGAAAAGAACAGCATCGAGCCTGAATGGAGTGATGTCGATACCGCCGTTCGCACACAACCAAATAAATCCAGATACGACTCTGACTACACTTGCTACTCCACACCCGAACTTCTCATGGTCTACCAACATGAACAACATGCCACCAACAAACAAGGGCAATCCTCTGGACCTCACCAAAAGATCTAACCAATCTGCACCAAACACGCCAACAAAGAAACAAAAGACAAATCTGAAACAAACAAACGCTGGATCTGTAAGATCTTCACCGCCAATTTCGACACAGCCAAGCTCTTTAAGCGCCATCAGGCAATCCAACCGTGGACCTGAGTTCAAGCGAACACAAAGCCACCCAACTCAAGCACTGCCAAAACTTCATCTCCAGTCAGATCTCAATGACAATATGTCAACAGTACGCAATGGCAAAGCAGTCCCTTTGGCTACGAAATCAGGAGTAGGGGAGGCCAGATTGAGAGCGATTGCTGCAGCAAAGACTACAACCAAAGCATCGTCACAGCCCCCAACAGGAAACAGCGCAGAGAGAGTCTTTGAAGACCTGACGAACGACTCTGATACAGAATTGGCTGCAACACTCAAAGATAATCCACCACTTACAAGCACGAGAAAGTTGTCCTCCCGACCAATCTTTGCTAGACAAGGCTCGAAACGCCCTTCAGCAGCAGACAAAGAGGAACTTCCCACTCGACCATCCTTTGCCAAACACCATGAGACTGACTCTCCCATGGATGACAAGATTGAAGATCTAAGTGAAAAGTATACATTGGTCAAGGATACTCGACAGTCGCTATCTTCATTCTCGTCGCAACAGTCAGCAGCTACTCCCCAAGCCACTAGACCAGCCTCGGTTGATTCTTTTAGGCCGATAGATTTCTCAACACAACGTGAGCTACGGGATGCTTTATGACTTGAGATTGCAACCGCTGATGAAGACAGTCTCTGATCGCATTGACGAGTACATCGAAGAGGCAGTGGGAGGAGTTGACGACCGCACCCATAGAATCTTCAAGGATGTTGTCCTGAACGCTGGTCTCTGGATTGTAAGCCGGTATCATCTGTGTCTAGAGAATCAGGACTGACTCTTCCGTGCAGCTCCAGAGTATACAAAGTCATGATCTTCTCCTTGCGTCTCTATGCACAGAAATCACTACCAACGAGCGCAACTCTCGTGCGGCTACCAAGTCGTTGGAAGCGGCACTCGACTCCTACGGTCTCAAGGATGTCAATCTCACGCCCAAGGCCGTCGAGCATTGCCAGGTACTTGACAAGCAGGAGCTGGAGAGACAGAAAGCTCTAGAGGAAATGATCGAGAGACTCGAACGTGAGAACAAGGGCAAGATGGAAGCGATGGTTGAGATANNGGCGAGATGCAGAAGGAAATAAAGGAAGAAAGGGACAGGTGTGACAGGGAGGAGCAAAACGAGATGAGAAGAAGGTATGGCNGAACAGACTAAGGAAAAGAGCAGGAGTGACTATGGCGATGATATCACGAAGAACGGAGAGAGCAGGAAGAGGAAGAGAGATATCGAGACGGAGGATCACATGGACATCGATATTCTGATGTGAGAGAAAGAGGAGCAAAGACAGTATGAGCTACGAAGCCGAGGATTATAGCTGTACAGTACCTAGCTTTTCTACCACAAATAACAGTATGGGATAGCCCACAAAGGCAAAAAGGACTCATACAGTCGGCTTCATCCAGTACACAGCATTAAGACCTTACCTATGAAACATACCCACAACCTTCCACAAATACTCACATTCCATCGTCATGCCTTGCCTCTTCAAGGTCTTCTCAAGCAAACAAAATCTTCTCCCTCTTCCTCTGCCGTGCAGCCACCGGCACCGGCGACGACGGAAACGAGGCACGCCCTCGCGCTCTCCTGATGGCAGGACTTGTATAGCCGCCTCGTACTCACAGAAATTGTTTGCTGACGTACAGAAAAAGGTCCAAGGGATCAGACACGGAGAGATGAGGAAAGATACTACTCAGGTACGCTGTTGTGGGTGTCCGATACGCCTTGTATATGCGAGCACCATCAGTAGCCAGACAATGAGCTTTAGATTATCTCGTGCCAATGCGTACACAGGCAGAGTACGACATGCGTTGACGCAACACCTCTTGATGGCTGGGTCATCTTTTACGAGTACGGAGAATACACTGTTTCTCTGGTACAGTCATTGATCAAGGAGGGGGATGAGTATGAGATGAAAAGATGGAGATGGGACCAGGACCTGCTTCGGATGATGAGGTACAACACAAGGCATTGAAAGTAGACATGGGGACAGAAGAACTGTTGAGAATACAATGGGTTTATTAGTGGCAAGGTCTAGTACTCACAGTAGACCAAAAGACTCATCAATGTGAATGCGTAACATGCCAATCTCCACCTAAGCCCCAGCAGCCATAGCCCAATCTTTCAGCCATGTAACATATACCCTCAGTCTCTATACCATCATCTCCATTTTCCTTTTGCCAGGTGGTACCCACCACGTACCACCAAGGGAAACTCAAACCTTGCCTCACCAACACAGCGTTGATATACAACAAAGTGCCACCCACGGTATCCAGCGGGAATATCTCGTCGCTGTTTGCAAATGGCAATAGGTCTTGCATATGCTGATCTCTGTCTTTGCGCACACTGCCACGGTGGTACCAAGCATTGAGGTCGTAATCGTATGTGTTGCCATCCGAAGCTCTGGTAGTAATCATTCCCACAGGCAAGATCTTCTCTGGCATGGTGATACCAGGATTTTTGGTGATTTTTGGATTGGCAGCTTGTTTGAGCATTTGGGCGCAAATGTTTGGCGTTGCGTCCACGATGTCGGCGTCGTAGTAGAAGATGTGTGGTTCCGTGGTCAGCGCACGGAAGAGCAGGATGTTCCTCGCAATGGCGATTTGACGGCGGCGGACGGGTTGGAAGGAATCTGCGTGGCGGTCTTCGGGGCCTTTTTCTTCGGGGATTGTGGGTGTGTAGAGGATAACCTGGGCTTTTGCGAGGGTGGAGTGGGAAGAGATGTGAGAGACATAGGAGTTGTATGCTGATTCTGTGGTTGTGAGGATTGCGAACGAGATTGAGGAGGAAGGCAGGCCGGAGGTGTCGTTCAGCATTTCGAGGAAGGAGGGGAAGGTGCGTGCTTTGCCGTTGACATGGCCCCAGTGGGATTCGTCGCGGGTGACGACGAGGATGAGGTGTTCGGCGGCCGAGGCGTTGTTGATTTGGGTGTGATGGCGTATTTCAGGTAGGTTGATCTCGGTAATGACTGGGGTGGGTGTTGAGGCTTCTGCTGAGCTTGGAGTGCCGTCTGCTTTGGCCGGCACCTTTGGACGGTCTCTGGTGGGTTGGTTCTGGCCGTGCTCTTGGTGGTAGTCTTGGACAGCTTTTTCTTCTTCGGTCAATTGCTCGTCGTCGACGGCTTCCTTGCCGGTCGAGATGTGGTCTCCGACGTCGCTGGGGCGTTCTTCATCTTCCTCTGGCTTTTTCTTCTCCTCCTCTTCTGCCTTGTCGTCGCTGCCAACGTCTCCCCAGGCTGCGGATGTACTCTCTTCCTCGGCAGGCTTTGGGTGTGGAATGTCCCAGATGGTGCGCGAGATATCTTGGTTTTGGTCTGTCGCTGGCGATAGTCTGGTTTTCCTGGTTGGGTGTGCTGGAACAACGATGATGTAGAGAAGTGCGACGATAAGCAAAAAGGACAGGATCCGCACGGTCGACTTGAACGATGTACTGGACATCATGATGGCTAGCGAGAGACGCGAAAACAAAGAGCGAGTGAAAAGATTCAGACGAACGGAAGAAGACCTACAAAGACTGGCGGGCCAGCCGCTACCTACATAGCTTGGTGGATGTGGCCAACGGCTGAGATTAGGGAAGCTGAAATATACATGTGCATGGTGGCTGACTGAAACGGACGGCACGCCGGACTTCAGCTGCGGCAAAGAGCGAGCCAAATGAGCGTGAGTTCTGAGTGAGCAGCGGACGCGGTCTGGACCGGAGGACGAGCACGCAAGAAGATGGTATATGGCTGGGGCGGCGGCATGCATTCAAACCGTTTGGGTTTCGGAGGCCCGACAACAGAGGTCAAGGAGAGAAAGAGAAAAGAAGAGAAAATGCAAATAAAGCTTGACTCGCGGACTCCTGCGGGGTGAAGCTGGGCTGAGTCAAGCAATCCAAGTGCCAGGCTGGTGACGTCGAAGGTTCTGGATGATTCTGGCAGCAACCCTGCCTGCCTTGATCTTGCTAGCACCATCTGGCGCTCGCTGGCGGCCAGGAGTTTCTTCTGGTGCTGCGAGCCCAATCTCTATATCAACCTCGTCGACGTCTTTATTCTCTGCTCCACCAGAACTTAAGACAACACACAATCCTCACGCACAGCATTCACTTCTCTACGCTTCACGACTCACGAAACTATACCAATATACCATTTTTGTTCATAATCACATACACATAATCTCATCAAAATGGCAGCTTCAGGAATGTCATTCACCGACAAGGCCTCATCCGCCCTGGCCGATGCTCAAGACCTCGCACAGCAATACTCGCACACACAACTTCAACCAATCCACCTGGCCGTCGCTCTGCTAGANCCCCCACCGGATCTTAGCAAGGACCAGCAGAACCCGTCCGGCCACGAATCGCACGGCGCATCGTCAGCACCTCTCTTCAAGCAAGTCGTCGAGAGAGCCCATGGAGACCCGCAACTACTCACCCGCGCCCTCAACAAGGCCATGGTCCGCCTGCCCAGTCAAGATCCCCCACCAGAGCACCTCTCCATGAGCCCTGCATTCTCGAAGTTGCTGCGCGCCGCCGACCAATTGTCCAAGACACAGAAGGACAGTTACATCGCCATTGACCACTTCATCTCTTGCCTCGTCCAAGACACGACCGTCGCCAAAGCTCTCGCTGAGGCCAACGTGCCCAACACCAAGCTCATCGACAACGCCATTACCCAGATCAGAGGCAACAAGCGCGTCGACTCCAAGACTGCCGATGCCGAAGAAGAAAGCGAGAACCTCAAGAAGTTTACCATTGACATGACTGCCATGGCACGAGAGGGCAAGATGGATCCTGTCATTGGCAGAGAGGAAGAGATTAGAAGAGTCATCCGCATCCTGTCCCGTCGCACAAAGAACAACCCCGTCCTGATTGGTGAGCCCGGTGTCGGCAAGACTACCGTTGTCGAAGGCCTTGCTCAGCGCATCGTCAATGCAGACGTGCCTGCCAACTTGGCCGCCTGTAGACTGCTCTCGTTGGATGTCGGTGCTCTTGTTGCTGGCAGCAAGTACCGCGGTGAGTTCGAGGAGCGCATGAAGGGTGTTCTCAAGGAGATTGAGGATGCCAAGGAGATGATTGTGCTCTTCGTCGACGAGATCCACCTGCTCATGGGCGCCGGCTCTTCAGGAGAAGGCGGCATGGACGCTGCCAACTTGCTCAAGCCCATGCTTGCCCGCGGTCAACTGCACTGTATTGGTGCCACCACCCTGTCCGAATACCGCAAGTACATTGAGAAGGATCAGGCCTTTGAGCGTCGTTTCCAGCAAGTCTTGGTCAAGGAACCTTCTGTCCCCGAAACTGTTTCAATCCTCCGTGGTCTCAAGGAAAAGTACGAAGTCCACCATGGTGTCACCATTCTCGACGGCGCCATCGTTTCCGCTGCCACGTTGGCTGCTCGCTACCTTACGCAACGCCGCCTTCCCGACTCGGCTGTCGACCTCATTGATGAAGCCGCGGCTGCCGTTCGCGTCACTCGCGAATCCCAGCCCGAAGCACTCGACAACATGGAGCGTAAGCTTCGTCAGCTCGAGATTGAGATTCACGCACTCAATCGTGAAAAGGACGAAGCCTCTCAGGCGAGACTTGCTCAAGCAAAGGCAGAGGCTGCCAACGTTGAGGAAGACCTCAAGCCTCTGCGCGAGATGTACGAAAGCGAGAAGGCTCGTGGCAAGGAGATCCAAGAGGCCAAGCTCAAGCGTGACCAGCTCATCACCAAGCAGCAAGAGGCCGAGCGCATGCGAGACTTGCAGACTGCTTCCGACCTCAAGTACTACGCCATCCCCGATCTGGAGGAACGTATCAAGCAACTCGAGAAGGACAAGGCCGCATCTGACCTCGACCAACTCAAGCAAGCCCAAGCATCCGGCGAAACTCCTCTTTTGACTGACGCCGTTGGTCCTGACCAGATCAACGAAATCGTTGCACGCTGGACTGGTATTCCTGTTACTCGACTGAAGACCACCGAGAAGGACAAGCTTCTTCAAATGGAACGCCATCTCAGTGAGCTTGTTGTTGGTCAGAGAGAAGCTGTCACATCGGTCGCTAATGCCATCCGCCTGCAACGTTCTGGTCTTGCCAACCCCAACCAACCACCTTCATTTCTCTTCTGTGGTCCTTCGGGTACTGGTAAGACTCTGCTCACTAAAGCATTGGCCGAGTTCTTGTTCGACGATCCTCGCGCCATGATCCGCTTCGACATGTCCGAGTACCAGGAGAGACACTCACTGTCGCGCATGATCGGTGCACCTCCTGGTTACGTCGGTCACGATGCTGGCGGTCAGCTTACTGAAGCACTTCGTCGCCGTCCCTTCTCCATCCTTCTCTTCGACGAGGTTGAGAAGGCAGCCAAGGAAGTGCTCACCGTCATGCTCCAGCTCATGGATGACGGTCGCATCACCGATGGCCAAGGTCGCGTTGTTGACGCCCGCAACTGTATCGTCGTCATGACATCCAACTTGGGCGCTGAGTACCTTGCTCGCCCCAATGCACCTGACGGCAAGATCGACCCTACAACCAAGGAGATGGTCATGGGCAGCCTGCGCAACTACTTCCTTCCCGAGTTCTTGAACCGTATCTCGAGCATTGTCATCTTCAACCGCCTTTCCAAGAAGGAAATCCGCAGTATCGTCGACGTCCGCCTCGAAGAAATCCAGACCCGTCTGTCGCAGAATGGAAGAAATGTTCGCATCCAGCTTTCAGCAGACGTCAAGGATTACCTGGGCTCTGCCGGATACTCACCAGCCTATGGTGCTCGTCCTCTGGCACGCTTGATTGAAAAGGAAGTGCTCAACAGACTTGCTGTACTTATCCTCAGAGGCTCCATCCGCGATGGCGAGACTGCTAGAGTTGTGCTTGAGGACGGGCATATCATGGTTCTGCCCAACCACACTGACTCTGATGGTGAAGATTCGGAGATGTGGGATGAAGAGGATGCAGTTGCAGAGTTGAATGGAGATGAAGGAGATATGGAACTTTATGACTAAAGAATGATGATGAAGACGTGAGATGAGAAGAGGTAGATAAAGAGCATTGGTTTTATCAAGCATGGCGTTTTCGGAGGGATTGAAAAAGCATGGTTATTTTGTAGCTGTTGAGAGTTGTTAATACAGAATTTAGTATCCGAGACTTGTATCTTGCTCCTTCCGTTGCCTTCTCATGTGCTTAACTCCAACATGTTCACTAATATCATCTCTCCCAAATGAAAATACGACACTATGGCAGGCTATATCACAATCTTATATGATACCAAAGGCGTGTCTACAGAAAGGTGTTGAGATAGTACATCTCTCTAAACATTACTCCAATCTTGACAGGTATCGTGTCTACAGCTACACTTGACACACACTACCACGCTAGGAAGTGTAGTAAGACCACTTACTCCAATCAAAGTTATAGAACGAACCGCTGATATGGTTTTTCCTTGAACACCGACATGTCACTCGTCCCTACTGCCTGAGAAGTGGTTGCTCTCTGCATTACATGATGCCGTTCACTTGCTTTTGTGCATTTGGTTAAAGTAGGGCATAGGTACTGCTAGGGCCGTGTTGGCGTCCGTGACTGTTGAAAGTTTTGGATTGATCTCGGCTTCGACGGTCTAAGTGAGGATGGAGTCTTGTGAGTGTGTGTTCGTGGGTTGACGACGGGGCTGGGGAGAGGGGATGAGGCTGGATGTTGCTTTTTCAAATCACCGTGTTAGGTAAGGTGTTCGTCGCTCTGTAGCATGTACATATCTCTTGGTGAATCGCGGTCGAGGATTATAGGACTTGTGTTTGAGCAGCATGGTTCAAATATAAATCAGGTCGCTCCTTCGAAGGGCAAGTTTGTTACCTAGCAAGCATGGTTACCCTGAAGCACTTAAGAGTACCTTCGATAGTCATGAAGAGTAGTCATGGTGAATGGACGAGTAGGATGTGCTACAAACATAACGTGCGTTTACACCAGTCTCAAGGCGGACACTCTCGTCGCTGGAAACTTGTTTTTCAGACTTTTGCTTTCGTGAGGTTTTTCCGCAAGTTAGTTACATGGTTAGCGACGAGATTAGGCACATAGAAAGGAGCCATGCTCGACATTGACCCGGCTCTTGAATGCCGGTCGCATGGCTATTGCATGGGAGGAACCGATATGTGGCGGCGCGGGGTCCTCGATGTGGTCCCATGGTGCCACAGTCGTCCTGTTGATGTAGTTGCTGCGATGGGGGAAGTGTTTGAGGTGATAAGGATTGTCACATGTCGCTTATTGTAGTGACCGGCGCCCGTGTTCGCTGTGGTTGGCTCTCTCGGTGTAACGCGATGTTACCTACCTTGTCCAATGTTGATCTTGCACGATATATCAGCTGTAGAAACACACGGTGCTCTGCAAATAGAAGCTGTGTCCAGAGAGAGCCGCACAAAGTTGGCTCTCAGACATATACCATATCTTGCCAAAGCAACAACGCAACAGAGACGAATGTAAATGGGAAAGTGTAAAGGTCATAGTGGCGGTAAGAATAAAAGGGTGTTATCTACACAACTCCGGGAGCCCAAGGTGCTGTCTTTGAGAAGAAGGAAAGAGAAGAATCATGCTTTGTTTTACACATCGGCCTTCTTGGCTTGCCAGATTCTCTTGACGCCCTCGGTGAGACCGACATCGTTGGTCTCAAACTCGTAGAAGCCAATACCGGCAAGAATGGTGGCGGCATTGAGAGCCCACATGGAGAACTTGCGGGTCTTGGGTACGCGCTTGCTGGGAAAGTAGTCGATGATGCATGACTGGAAGCCAATGTGCGAGTGGATGAGGATGGTGGAGATGAAGAGGCCGTCCATGACGGGGTTGAGCGAGCCGGCGGCGAAGGGAGCAATGGTGAGAGGGATCAGGCCGACCGAGATGAGGCGCTCGAAGCTCCAGTGGTAGCTACCGTGGGCGTAGGATGCATCGGGAACAGTGGCGGCGTCGTTGACTGGTAGTTGTGTTAGTTCCAGGGTGTGGGATCGAGTTGACGGGCGTCACGCACCGGTGCCCTTGATGACCTGGGGCAATGGGGNGAGAATGGCGCGAGTGGGCGAGGCGTGGAAGCTGCGCAGGGCCATAGGTGTGCGCTGAGCCAGCAGCTGGCGCGACAGCAGGGCGGGACGGAACGAGGTGGCCATTGTGTTGTGAGTGCGTTGAGTCGGTATGCTGCTGCGAGTACAAGTTCCGGTATGCTTTCGAGATGTTCACGAAACGCGGAGGACCATTGACAGAGACGTGATTGGCTGAGAAGGATATGCCGAGGTGATGCGGAAGAAAGTGGAAGAATCCCAGTCTCAAGGCTTCGCACACCCGTTCTCGACGCTACAGAGGGCTGACCATCGTTGGCGGACGGCAGGTTCCGAAGAAAAGAGGCAAGTCCGACGTCTCTCATACCAGCAACAGCATCCAGCGACAGCTGCCACTACCACCCACCCTCTCTTCCCCCATCTCCGCCCATATCCCCGTCGCCGACAATGGCCTCGACAATGGCTTCTCGCAGGCTCGCATTGAACCTGCAGCACGCTACGCGCAGCCGTACCGCCATCAACGCCATCAAGAATGGCTCGCTGTCGCGCTTCCGCGGTCTCGCTACCCCCGTCAGCCACGGCTCCAAGACTGAGAGCACCACCCTCAGTAACGGCTTCACCATCGCCACCGAGCACTCGCCCTACGCCCAGACCTCGACCGTCGGTGTATGGATCGATGCCGGCAGCCGCGCCGAGACCGACAAGACCAACGGCACTGCTCACTTCCTCGAGCACCTTGCCTTCAAGGTACACACCACCAACCATATCAATGCAAAGACCATATCTAAGAGACGTTGTAGNGGAACCCAGAAGCGCAGCCAGAGCCAGCTCGAGCTCGAGATTGAGAACATGGGTGGCCACCTGAACGCCTACACTTCGGTGAGTCGGTCCTCTGACTCTTGACTCAACCGCAAATCTAACCACACTCACAGNCGCGAGAACACCGTCTACTACGCCAAGTCGTTCAACTCGGACGTCCCCAACACCGTCGACATCCTTTCCGACATTCTCCAAAACTCCAAGCTCGAGACCCAGGCCATCGAGCGCGAGCGCGACGTCATTCTTCGCGAGCAGGAGGAGGTTGACAAGCAGCTCGAGGAGGTCGTCTTCGACCACTTGCACGCCACCGCCTTCATGAACCAGCCCCTTGGTCGCACCATCCTCGGCCCCAAGGAGAACATCCAGTCCATCAGCCGTGACGACCTTACCAACTACATCAAGACCAACTACACCGCTGACCGCATGGTCCTTGTTGGCTCTGGCGGTGTTCCCCACCAGGAGCTCGTCCAGCTCGCCGAGAAGTACTTCAGCAACATCCCCATGGCTCCTCCAACTTCGACCGCCCAGGCCATCGCCAACGCCCAGAAGGAGAAGCCCGACTTTGTTGGTTCCGAGGTCCGTATCCGTGACGACACCATCCCCACCGCCAACATCGCCATTGCCGTCGAGGGTGTCAGCTGGAAGGACGACGACTACTTCACCGCCCTCGTTACTCAGGCCATCGTCGGTAACTGGGACCGCGCCATGGGCAACTCGCCCTACCTCGGCAGCAAGCTCAGCACCTTCATCCACGAGCACAAGCTCGCCAACAGCTTCATGAGCTTCTCCACCAGCTACAGCGACACTNNGGGTAAGCACTCGCGCAACTCTTTTTACGTTCGTCCGTCACTAACACGACACAGTCTCTGGGGTATCTACCTCGTCACCGACGCCGTCACCCGTATCGACGATCTCGTCCACTTCACCCTCCGCGAGTGGTCGCGCCTGTCATTCCAGGTTTCCGAGGCCGAGGTCGAGCGCGCCAAGGCCCAGCTCAAGGCTTCGATCCTCCTCTCGCTCGACGGCACCACCGCTGTTGCCGAAGACATTGGTCGCCAGATCATCACCACCGGTCGCCGTCTCGCACCCGAGGAGGTTGAGCGTGTTGTTTCTCAGATCACCGCCAAGGACGTCATGGACTTCGCCAAGCGCAAGCTTTGGGACCGCGACATTGCCATCTCCGCTGTTGGTCAGATCGAGGGTCTGCTCGACTACTCGAGAATCCGCAACGACATGACCAGAATGCTGTCGTAAGGATAGTCAAATTCTGTGTTTAATGTTTTTCTTATCTAGATGAGAGAGGAGACTCTGAATCTCCCTTTTGTTGGAAGTCTATATGATAGAAGATGCTGGGGGCCATTTTTCTGGCCCGGCGGAGCATCGCAAACGACACGATGGAGAGTGAGATGCCGATCCGGGTTGTTAGTGTTCACTCTCAAAAATGTACATTTAGCCCGTTTTACTTTTTTTTTCAAATCTATTTCATTTTCTTTTGTCTGTATGTTGACTTTCCTGTGTTCCCTTGAATATCCAGACTTTTGATGCTATCTTGTGCTGTGCTCTGATTGGTCCAGTCGAAGCCAGGCTGTTGCGCTGTTCTGGCCACCCTGGACAACCGAACCTCTATCTTCAACACCACGACAATTCATCATATTTGTTCGAACAATCTCCTCGAGCATTCCTTGTTCAGATAGAATTCTCTGTGATCCCGTTGAAACATCCATATCGAGTGAGACGCGCTGTACACTTGCGATCATAAATAATATCAATTGGCTTTCTGGATTCGCAACATCCGCCGGTCAAAACACATACATCTCATCAATTCAATCTTTGAAATCAAACTTGTCGAGGCCCGTGATCTCGGCTGACTGAGATTCAAGTGCTAGTCAGACCTGTCAACTCTTTTGTCGACGCATGTCAAGATGTCGGACTCGGTGCTCAAAGCGATCTTCTATGCGAGGTTTCACGAGGAGAAAGGTATGTGACGCGTCTTACACCATCTCAGCATCTGTTTTCTCGTTTGCGGTTGTCTCATCAGTTCTGTCATTGCTTGCACGTGTGGCGAGATATCAGGGCGATGCTACTGTAATCTGTACCGCTAATCGAAGGATCACCGAAATTTCTCGAAGTCGAATCTAAGCACACTGCCAAATCGAAAGACTGGAAGTCGAATGCATACTGATACCATCTCAGGTCCCACAGTCTTACACCAGGTCCCTGAAGGCAGTGTCATCCCTCTAGCAAACGCAACCCAACAGCCTCTTTTCCACTTCCCCAGCGTATCCAACCACATCATTCCTCGCCGCGAATTCTGCGATCGCCCATTGAGTCTGCTGGCTTCTCACCACCGCATCATTGGCTTTCCCGTCTGTATACACAATCCGGTTTTGTACCCACGCTCTGATTTCATCTTCAACTTTTGTCTTGTGGTTGATGAGAAGGCGGAATGGGGTGCTTATGCTAGTGTGGTTAGTAAACTTGCTCGTCTGATGAGGAATCTGGAGGAGCAGGCGGGGTGGTTGAGTAAAGAGGAACAGAGGGAAGGGTGGATTAAGGCCGGTGAGAGGGGGTATGGAGGTGGTAATCGTGTATTTGCGATCTGCGAGATGGTGTTGGAGGATTTGAATTGTTATTGCGAGTGTATGATTCCGATTGGTAAGATTGCTCGTCGCATCAAAGTGGGCTTGCGAAGAGATGCTAATGAGATGCGACANGATGATTCGAATACGCTCAACCTCAAGTTGTTCCCCACGAGGTCACCGCCGCCACCGATACAGATCTATCATGTTCCGCTGAGCACTGTTCGCTTCAGTAGCTTGCAGACGAATACTTGGGATCTTACTGTTCAGCGAATCATACCGTATATCGATGGTATCAATTCTGTTCAGAAGATTGCCGTCTTGGCCGACACAGATTTGACACTCACTCGACGAGCATTAGCCCATCTGCTATACTACGGCTGCATCTTGATGCTAAACACATTCCACTTTGGAGCCATTTACGCCCCAACAGCCGAGATTGGCGTCTTCGTCGAGGACACAAAGATGCAAGATGAGTGTAGACGATACATCGTAACACCACACTCACCCTTCAAAACCAGCATCACCGGTTCTTCTCCCAACACAAACGCACCCCAAGCACCTTCTTCCTCCTTCAATCCCTCCACCAGCTTCCTCGCCAACAGAAACCACAAAAGCAGCAATTTGAATCCTTCCTCGTCAGTCAATACACCCCACCCACCCTCACGAGCAACAGTACTCCATCTCTACGCGTCTTTACGTCAAGGCCTTCCGTTGCGTGACTGGTGTCTCGCTCACGCTGCCTCTCTCGCTTACATCGATACCCGCCGCTTTATCACTTTCGGCATTATCAAAGGCTTCCTCTACCGCAGCCACCGCTACGCCATCGCCCTCCGTGCAGCAGATACCGCCGCTGACGCAGCAGTCGCAGAAGAAGCCCTGCGCTCCCGCCGCGAAGCAGAAAAAACATGGCGTAAAGCTGCTATGAGCAGTGGATGGCGCACCCCTGTTGCTTCACACGCCGAACCTGCTCTAGATGGTGGGTTTGGGGGTGTGGTTGTCCGGGTCAAAAAGGAAGTAGATGGTGATGATGAGGAAGTTGCTGCTGCGGAAGCTAAGAAAGAGGAAGAAGGTAAAGAGGGAAAGATGCCTGGAGCAGAGGAGTTGGGCAAAGGGAGGAGTTTGGCGGATCAGTTCTTGGCGAGATATTTGGATGGGTGTCATTGTTTGGATGAGGTGTCTACGGATACGGGGATGAGTCAGCAAGAGGTGGTTAGGAAGTTGAGNGGGTTGGGAGATGTGGTGTTTCTGAACCGGTAGGCAGGTTGTGGTAGTTGGTGTCTGAGAAACCAATGTCAACCAGGGAGACAAACGCGAAGGAGCGATTTAGTCAATCGATAACAGGAAGTCGCAATCCACTACAGTAATTACACAGAAGAAGAGGGATCTTGAATGTTTTCTTTATTCTAAAGAAAGGGTCGGTCGTATTTCTCCAGTCCTTTCCCCCCTGAGATCCTGCCGACGCAATTTAAGAAGAGAAGAGTAAGATGCTCATAACAGCGTACTCCTTTGCCCTGAACGCCCAGTGATGGAGAACCTCGCATCCAAAACTTCCTTTGTTTTGGCTCATCGAAACTCCCATCCCATGCCTCAAACGCCAATACCGCAGAGAACCCACGTCAAGTTCCATCACCTCAGCGATCTACTAGAAAGTAACCTCACCCTCCTCGCCCATCATGGCGCGAATAAGCTCCTGACGCTCCTCAAACAGCTCAACCAACTCTCTGCCGTACTTGGCGATCTGTTCAGTCTCGTCAACAATGAACTTCTGGATCTCGATCGACTGATCCATTTGGGCCATGGTATTCTGGGTCACGGAGCGACCCTTTTCGAGGCCGGTGTTGATGGTCTTGGCCTGCTTCTTAAAGGCGTTCTTGTGGTTGACGCGGATCTGCTCGTGGAGGTCGAGGAGGGTTTGGGTGGCGGCGATGCGTTCGGAGAGGGAGGTGAGGGTGGGGTTGTTTACGCGGGCGACGGTCTTGGAGACGGTGGTGGTAGACATCTCGGATGCGAGTTGTTGATGGGCTGTGTTGGGTGTGTAAGAAAGGGATTTGGTGTGGTCACATGGGTATGTTAACTTACGTTCTTGATCAAGATGGTTCTGCGTAGGAAAGCTGACGGATGATGTACGCGCAGGAGATCTGGGACGATATGGAATGGATGGGTGAATATAGAGAAGTCCTGTCGTGCTTTCTTGTGTCAACAGAGGCTCAGAGACCCGCGAGGCTGGATTGACATACGCGTTGATGATAGAGATAGCGCTGCGCAGAAGAGTTGATATGGATGTGTCTTGCGTAGAAGATGCAAGATGGTATTGAATGCGTGTGTAAGAAGAGAGGANCTGATTGTGAATGGTGTGAACAACCTTCAATCCATCAAGGTTGTGTTTGCGGTCGTAAAGAANGTGATGACGGAGAGTGAAGATGGAAGTGACATTTTCCGGTGGTGAAGGCAAAAACGACTCAGTGCCGAGAAGTGATGTCGTCGACAAGATGTCAACAACGAGACTCCCGCCTGGTGATGGAGCGATCAGAGGGTGCTGTCGAAAATCACAATCGATCCTGATTCTCAGGGCCTTACCAGGGAAGGAACAAATGCTGCGTGCTTTCCGATTCTTGTTACAGCTCAGAGATCTCTCCCAATGCGGATCAAATGGCTAACAGGACTACCACGATGTGCGGTCAATCAGACATACAATGACAGATAAAAAGTCTTAGAACGCTGTTAACTAGATATGCCTCTATCCGGGCTTACAATTCATAAGAGCGAGCTTCAAGAAAGGGAGCACTCACGTCCTTTCGAATGCAGAAAGATCAAGATAGCAGCAGGACGAAGAAGGACGCGAAGAGTATGGTGATCAACTTTCGAAGACCGGCAAGGTTTCAAGAGAAGGAGGCTGAATGTATAAAATTACACTCACTTACCCCTGAGCCTCAAAACTCACTCACTTTCTCTTCATCCAAGTGATAGATACTAGTCAGAATGGCTTTCTCATGCCTCCCCTCGGGGAGCGACCTGCTGCACTCTAGTGCAGTGGTCCTCAAGGGGTTGAGCCCTAGGGGCGCCGGGTTCGAGTCCCCGCGTCAGACTACTTATTTCGCAGCAACTGGACCGACCTGAATCCTGAACGGGACCCTGGACTCTGGACTCTCAAAGAGCAAACCAAACTATCCGGCGAAGTTTGTCTCTCTACCCACAACGGCCCGTAGGTAGAGTTCTGTTTTGCGAAATCGTATTCGAATTGTAGCTACCATGGACATTATCGCAGCTCCTTCGGTGCTCATTTGATAACGCCACAGATCCAAAACATAACACAGATTCCATGCGCGAGAGGAGCCGATGACCTTATTGCCTATCTGGAGTCTCATTGCAACATGAAGGCACATGTGATCATGGCAGCTCTTCTGCTTGGAACAATCGATGGCAATGTCAAACCTAGTCACGGAGGCACAAGAAGTGCTGTTCATGTACGATGGCTTGAATCAATCGCAATAATCATCTCGTGGCTCTCAGGAACCGCTTCCTGACACACTAGCACACCATATCCTCAGATTCTCATCTTTGTCTGAATCCTGAGCTCGACCGGAAGCCCACAGGTCACACCGCTACTTTACGGTCACCTACGTTTTATCAACTGGCCGCAAGGTTACGAAGCTCAAGGTTCTTCATTCTCACCAAGTTCGTCAGCGTACTGAGCAGGTATTCATACACGTACTAATATCAGTGGATCTCCCGTGCTGTAATATAAGGCAGAAGCATCTATCAAAATGCACAGTCCATTCGCAGCACAGAGTAATGACCAAAGAGAAAGACAGAGAAGGGAAGAGACCCGAGTGATATCGTTCATTCTCACTGGCCACAACTACAACTACTATACCGCTATGCCTTTTGATAGTTACACAACGCAAACTGATGGGAGAGGAGAGTCTTCAATGCGAACTTACCCTCAAAGTGCGAATGAAGGGGTTTCACATCCTCGAGAATCACCTCGAGATCCCATTGTGGCTTTCGTCGACCACATTCGTCCGTCTCGGCGTAGATCTCGAAAGCCGGAGAGATATATATGGTGTCAACAACCAATGCGTCCTCTCACCTTTACTTCAGCAAAGTCACCACGTTGTTTTTGTGAGGACAAGGTACTCGATACGTCCATTGTTGATGGCTTCTCTCAAAGCTAACGTAGTTCAAGCAGGAACCATGAGCACCATCAAGGAGGAGCAGGTGGTTGACGCCAACATGGGAGACGCGAGCAACGAGAACATCGCGGGCTGCGTCGAGGCCGACACCAAGGTGCAGGACGACGCCCCCGACATGGAAACCTCTACTACTGCCAACGAGCCTGAGGACACTGCTGGCAGCGACGCAAAGAATGCTTTCACCAACGCCCTCGCCGACAACGAGCAAACCAATGCCGTCACCAACCCCATCAACGACATTCCCTCCGCCGAGCAAGACCTCCCTCCCCTCACCATAGACCAATTGATCGCCAAACTGCAAGACGACAACAAAGCCCTCAACGCCGACAAATTCGCCCTCGCAAAAGAAGTTTTCTACCTCAGAAGACAAAACAACTCTCTCTACCATGCCGGTAAAAGAGAGATTGACCAACTCAAAGACATCATCACCACCAAAGACACCGCCCTCACCACCACCAAACAATCAATCACCGGCAAGCAAAAGCAACTCGATTCCCTCTACGCAACCCTCCAACGCCAAGAAAAAGCCATCGCTGCCAAAGACCTCCAGATCACCAACATGCAGCAAAAGCATGAGGCAAAACTGTACAATATCAAACTTGGAATGGCGAGGTTGCTTAGAGTGACGAACAAACTGTGGTATGGGGCCAAGAACGACTCGGAAAAGATTAGATCTCAAGCTGAGCAGATCAAGGAGTTGATCAAAGGTGACGATGAGGAGACTCGGGATGCAGAGGAGACGGAGAGTGAGGAGGAGGACCGAGAGAAGCAGCCTGCTCAGGGAAGAGAATTGGTGGTCATTGATATCGAAGATGATGAGGTGGCTGGTGGTGGTATTCATGACGCTGTTGCTCAGCAGGCTGCTGCCGTTGAGCAGCCCGTTACTACTCAGCAGTCTGCCGTCTCTGAGTAGTCCGCCATGGTTGAACAGTCTACCGTCATAGAGCAGCCTGGCATCACGAAACAGCCTGCCATCACGCAGCAGTCTGCTGCCGACGAAGAACCTCCCAACAAGCGCGTCAAGCTGACCGAGGAAGCTTGATCGAGTCTTCAAGAGATACTGAGAGAAGGAAGGCGCGACACAATTCGTCTCCAAGACCAAAAAGTCTAACATCGAAGTCGTTTCATCCGAAAGAGCAAGGGCGCGAGACGACACCCACAATGGGAACTTTGGCATACACAAGAGGCTTTCTCGTAATTCAGCTCGAGTAGTCTTGAGCGTTTCTATCAAAAAAGAACCAGCGCCTTCGATACTTCAACCTCTTTCCATTTTCCCTCTGTGAAACACTCAATCGGCAGGAGCATACTTACTCCTCGCCCTGATTTTGTGCCCATAGAAGTAAAACAGATATGGAATAGGCACCATAGCAGCACTAATACACGCCAAAATCGTACACGTATAATGCACGCCCAGATTCTGATAAAATGGCACACCCACAACCGTCATGCCACCAGCAGCCACATATCTAATCAGCGTGATGGATGCCAAAGCCGAAGCAGCATAAATCTCATACGCATCAATAATGTACTGATAACTGCTGATGAAGATGCAGAGGATGCCGAAACCGAACAGCACAGAGGCGCCGAGGGGTGACCAGATACTGATGTCCGGGTAGGATGTCCAGCCCATCCAGAACATGGCGATGGGGATGGTGGGAGCGCCAATCATGGCGTACCAAAGGCGGAACTCTGGGGNGAGCTTGTCTTTGCCGTTGGCTTTTGCTTTTGNCATGCCTTTTGCCGCGAGATGGCGGATGAGAAAGACGAGAGGCGAGGCGAGGAAGAGGCCGAGTGCAATGCCCAAGAAACACAAACCTTGGACACCAATGCTTACGCTATGGATTTCGCCAAAGATGAAGTCGTAGCCGTCGAGGAAAGTGAACAGGATGATGTATACGATGGTGAGGTACAGGGCGATCAATATGATGATGGGTTCTGTAGCGGTGAGGAGGAAGGGTCGGTAACAAGCACGCCCGAGGCGGGTGAGGAAAGGGTCCATACGGACTTCGACTTCTGCTCTGTAGCGTTCATCGTTGGTGATAGCGCGTAGATGTGCGGCCTTCCACTTTAGCAGGATGGGGGNGAATGTCTCGGGGAGCGTGAAAANAACCAGAATCAACACGAGACCAGACATGATGATGGTGATCCATTCAGTCCCNNTGGTGTTTTGTTAGTTTCTGCTAGAACGTCAGGGATTCGTGCTCTAAGACTTACATCTCCAAGAGATCAGAGAGCTCTGCACGATGTATCCGCCCATTACAGGACCTAGAATGGGACCCAGAAAGGCGGCATTGGCAAAGATGGGGAACATCAATGTCCTCTCGCTTGCATTCCAGATATCAGACAGTGAGCCACCTGCACAAGTAAGAGGGGTACTTCCGAAGAAGCCAGCAAAGAAGCGAGTCGCGAATTGCTGCTGATATGTTTGCGAAGCTCCAGCTCCGGCAAGGAAAGCCATATAGATGACCAATGTGACAATGTAGATGGGATTTCTGCCCAGCGTCTCTGAGAAAGGGCCAGCGAAGAGCGCACCTGCTCCAAAACCTATGAGGTACAGACTACTCTTGTTAGCGTTTCCTCCATCAGATACAGCAAGAGCGACTCACCCAGTAGCCAGACTCTCAGCAACCTCTGAGATGCCAAACTCCTGACTTGCAGGTTGGATGGCAACAGAGTCAATCGACGAAGCCACACCAACCACGAAACCAATACTCGCAACCATGAAGGTGATCCAGAGTCTGATGCCCCAACCCCAATTGTGTGGATTCAAGTCGTCTTGGTCTCCTTGGAAGTCGACAATAAAGACATTGCCCTCGCCACCCTCATGCTCTTCTCTCTTTCGCACCTTGACACCTGTAAGAATGCGACCAAGCGCAGTACCAGATCTGCTGAGCCCCGATCGCCCGCTCTTTGTCGTGGATACACGCGCAAGGTCTGCACTACCCTCTCTCCGACGCGCTTCCATATCGTGACTGTTTGGCGGAAGTTCATCTCTTCTTTCGCCAGGATCGCTGGGTTCGTGTTCAGCGCCTACATCATACTTCTCCTCCTCTTCTTCTGGGCCGTGTCGTCGGCCTGAGTCTTCTGCTGTTACTCCGAGAGTGGCTTCGTCGACTGCTGTGTGTTCGCCGCTGGATGCGGTTGATTCACCTCGCTCGACATCTTTCTCTACATCCGAGGCTCTTGACGTGCTGATGGGAGGAAGGTCTTGATTCGCGCGGTCGACTGCTCGTGTGCAGTTGCGGTCTGTCTCGATTTGCGCTTCCAAGGTTCGGCGAAACCTGTGGTATTGGAGATATGATTGCATGATTGCTCAATTCAGGCCTCGGCCTTTGTTCTAGCGGTCTTTGAAGGATTGACCACCCAAGGCAGTTACTGCTGCATGCACAAGATGGAAGGAAGAAGGGAAGTGAAAAGGCGGATGGAGAACCTACGTTGATTGGAGTCCGGGTACCTACCGACAGAATTGATAAGAAGGGCCTTTTTACTTTTCTCGCAGACTCATCATCATCCAAATTGGGTGCATGGTTGAGTGGACGGGTCGTGGTTCAAGAATCAAAATGACGTCTGAGTTTTGATTGATGATGAGCGCGTCTTGCGGCCCGCTCGGTCCTTCGGCACACCGTTTGATCGCCAATCGTGCACTTCTCTCCGATCAAGACAGAGCCTCATCTACATTCCATACAGTATTGACACTATGAAGAGGATTGTGTCTTATTGTTGGTGTTGTTGTATAGTCGGATTGTCCGCTCCTGCTTCCTATCCCTCACCCTGAACCCCCAGACCAAGCATTTATCTACCACCATATAGACAGAACGAAACATTCAAACATAAACCCAATACTCGGCTGCATACTCGACAAGAATACTCTCTTGCTGCCCTTGACACGTAGCAGGTGGCTGCCCTCCAGCCGTGTTGACTCTGAATACTTCCTTCAACTTCTGGCTTCCTTCGACTCCAATCTTTTCCGTCAACTTGAGCCATGGCACAGCTCCCATACCTGCCCCGTCCACACCGATGACCGCTCCTTGTGGCGCAGAAGTGCCGTTGACTTTCTTGAAAGCTCCGATTCCGTATGAATGCATCTGCGTGTCCAGGTTGAAGAATGGCGTAGTCGCATCCAAGAAATAATGGTGACCCGCCAGGTCCATGTTGATCGGCGACATGGCAGAAGAGGAAGAAGGCAAAGGCAGATTGATGGCGATACCAGGGATCATTGAGAGCAAGGCAGGATGGTTGGTAGCAATGCAGGAAACATTGTAGAGTGATGCCGTTGCGCCCACGGCTACTGGGATCGCCGTACTGTTGGAGAGATCGCAGGTATAGTTCTGCGTGCCGCGTCCAATAGAGACGTGACTCAAACTCAAGTTGTAGGATGGTGGTGGGAGAGGTGTTGGAGCTGCGGCGCGTTAATCATGATATCTTTTGAGAGCATGAGCAGGCATAANTGTCGTACCTTGAGGTAATTTGGCTTTTGACAGGTCGCNAAGGGCGTAATCGCAGCCGCGACGAGTTGATGGAACGTGTCCAGAGTGTGATGCCCAGAAGGAGGGAGAAGACCAGCGTTGTTCCAGCGTTGGTGCCGCAACGACAGAAACTGGTAGTAGCACTGCCACTGTGGTAGTGATTGTCGAGATTCTCATGTTTGCGAGTTGTCAGAGCCCAGTCCGAGATGAGAGTTGATGTCACCACTGCTCCAGATGGCTACGAGATATAGCCCAGCAAGAGTCCGACTCTGCAGATGAGAAGGCAACTTCTGATCGAGTTGCAGGCCTACCAGAAGGACCCAAGGACCACTCACGTACCAAAACCGTCAAGGCAATGGGAAAGAGGCACAGCGGAGGAGAGAAGGATGCAGAGCAGGAACAATTCCCTTTTTCCCACTACACCAAGAGGTACCAAGATTAACACGAAACAAAGAAGGTGAGTGCAGAAGCGCCCATCCAGACCCTTATATTCAAGGACCATCTCTTGGGCGCTTGCATGTTGCAACACGACATTGATTGCCCAGGTTTCAATGCATGGCTGGATGGCGCAGAAGACGTGCATATCATACGGACAAACAGACCTTGCCCGCAATTTTTCGCATATTCGGCAGAGATGTGATTGGGCCAGTCTGTCTGAAGAATGCTCCGGCGAATGGATGAGGCGTTTCTGTGAATAGCAAACTGCACGCGACTCAAGAATTTGCGGGTATGCATGGCTGGTCGATGCGGGATATCATGCAGGTATGCAGGTGATGGTTGCGATATTGGTGGCTGGTCTTTTCTTAGTAGCAAACATTCTTGATACGATTTTCTGTCTGTTTGATATCAGCATTTCGAACTGCTCGCGAACTCAAACCATCGTTTGATAACCCAGTCATCTGAGTGCTGATGGTGTGTGAGAGATGAACGGCACCAAGATCTGACAAACGGCCGGTTTGTGCACTGCTGCATCTTCCCTCATGCTGTATGACGTTGAGCATTTAGCCTCCATGCCTAGGCCATCAACCAACCCAGTATATGTTATCAATATACCCTTTCAAGTGCTTGATAATCAATCTCACCAATAGCAAAGACAGATAAAAATGTCCCATCAAGATCATCGGTGCATAGCGAGGCGGGATCTTATGGGCGCGTAGATTGCTGCAGCCCCTCCGACATGGGCGCTTACAGCTTCGAGACCATTTTGTATCCACCATCAGTTATCGGGCTCTTATCAGAGTCTCGATATTCCTGAGAAGGTCGAGGTTGAGTAGTAGGTTATATTTCTCATACAGTCTTGAGAACTGTAAGCTGTGCAGGAGCCAACTTTTGTGAAGAACGAAGAGAGTTGGAGCATCTGCTGCTTCACCTCGGTCTCAATGGCGTGTCCCAATTGTAAACATGAGCAGAGGGTCCAAACAAGTCTCTACAGCCCATGCTCTGTATACGGCAGTGAAATTCTTGAGAGCAATATGAGCCTGGGGTCTGAGAATATCCAAGAGCTCGTCAAATGAAGCTGATGATGCAGCCTGAAGATTGACACGTTTGACATGTGATGGAGGAAAGCTAGGGATTGGCTGTTCACGGCTATGAGACTGACTGGCCAAAAGTCTTGACCCGAGCAGAATATGGATACCAGCCACCTATTTCCACAGCCGCCTCTGTAGTACTTGAGGAGACAGAGAATGAGAACAGATGAGATTTGAAGCAAACAACAGCGTCCGATACAACAGTCAATGTTCACTATCAGAAGATGTAAGGGTGATGAAGATGATGAGCTTGTGCGCTGTTGCTGACCAGACTCGCACATGTCTTGGCGAACCGGAAGCGGAAGGCTCAGCCGCAGCCGCATCAGAAACCTGAAATGTGGAGTTGAGATCGAGGAAAGCGCGATGGACGGCTCTGCTTTTCATCTGTCTCTCTCAACCTCGACAACAAGACGAATAACTCGAGAGTCGCTGGACCATAATCCAGCGATATTGCTTAGACACAAATTACACGCATTCATCTATGGGCTTCGACACTGATACCGTTCCCGTCCGTTTCTGCTGCCCCTTCAGCATCTCTTCCCCTGCCGTGCCCGACACTGTCGCCGGTCTGTCGCGCACCGACTCGAGTTTCGCTTCTCTGCTGTGGCCTGTGGTGCCAGGTCCGCCTTGACTGAAGGCGGACGTCTTTCTAGACACGGGCTGAGAAGCGCAAATCACATGCGCACACTCGCTCTCACACACCCATCCAACTCCTGAGACCCTGTGAAACCAGGCACATCTCAGCCACATCTATTCGCCAGAGTGCGTCTGTTGACAACCATCTTCCCTCCAGAAGACAGCATCATATATCACATACACGTTCGCCCAACCCGCAACAACCGTTACCAACACCAACATGCCAGCCATGGATCTTGACCGTAACGACGTCGCCGACACGGCCGAGGAAATCTCTCCCCGACGTACCTTCACCCTGAGCCCGCCAGGTACCGCTGCCGAACCATTGTCGGCCATTCTCAAGAGCGATCTGATGAAGAACAAGAGAAAGAAGAAGAAGAAGGGTGGCATGGCTCCCGCTGCTCCGGCTCAGAATGTCATTCGAGGTTTCGAGACTCCCATTACATCTGGCGGAGAAGAGTCGGACGCTTCGACCTGTCCTTCACCCCTCATGACCCCACGTATGCGTGGTATGAACGGTTCAACCTACAGCCCGAGACTCAGTGCCTCGAGCGGCTCAGGCATTAGTGCCCTCAAGACGCAGCTCGATGCTCTTACTCTAAGTCGCCCACCTTCTGCTCCCTCCATGACGCGTGAGAACAGCACCGCCTCCAACTTCGACAGCACCCCAACCATGTCCTCGGCTGCCAGTGACGTCGATGCGAAAGAGTTGGAAACCTACCAGATCGACCTCGAACACGACTTTGCCAGTGCAGACGCTTGTTCCACCCCCAGGCATGCTTTTCCTGTCGAGGGTGGCCTGCGCACTGAGTCCGTCTTGCGCAAGATGACAGCTGATGACTTCGAGCCCCTCAAGTGTTTGGGCAAGGGAGCCTTTGGCACAGTCCATTTGGTCAAACAACGTGCCACTGGTCGTCTNTTTGCTCAGAAGCAGTTTCGCAAGGCTTCCCTGACCGTCCACAAGCGTCTTATCGAGCAGACTCGTACCGAACGCAGTATTCTCGAGAGTGTCAATCGCCATCCTTTTGTCGTCAAGCTCTTCTACGCTTTCCAAGACCATGAGAGACTCTACTTGATCCTGGAGTATGCCCAAGGTGGCGAGCTTTTTACCCACTTGGCCATGGAGCGCATGTTCACCGAAGAAGTCGCCTCTTTCTACATGGCAGAGATGGTCCTTGCTCTTGAGCATCTGCACCGCAACGTCCGTGTTGTCTACCGTGACCTGAAGCCAGAGAATTGCTTGCTGGATTCGGATGGCCACTTGCTTCTTACTGACTTTGGCTTGTCCAAGGTCGCGCTGGAAGAAGACTCGTGCAGCTCGTTCCTTGGCACTGTCGAATACATGGCACCTGAAGTCGTTCAAGCCACTTCCTACGGCTTCGCTGTCGACTGGTGGTCGCTCGGCGCCATTGGTTTCGACTTGCTTACAGGTTCACCTCCTTTCGGCGGCAACAACAATGCAAAGATTCAGCAGAACATCCTGAAGCAGAAGCTGCAACTGCCTTACTTCCTTGGTCCCGACTCGAAGGATCTTCTGACACGACTCTTGCGTAAAGAGCCCAACAAGCGTCTCGGAGCCAACATGCCGAAAGACCTCGACATTATTAAAAAGCACCGCTTCTTCCGCAGGATTGACTGGAAGAAGCTTGCAAAGCGCGAACTGGAGCCTCCTATCCGCCCTCTCATCACGGATCCGGAACTAGCCGAGAACTTCTCCAAGGAGTTCACGGATCTGCCCATGTCTCCAGCAGATGAGAGAAAGTCAACCATCATGCAGGATGCTACCATGACAGGCATGGAGATTGCCTCGAGTACGAAGGAGCTCGAGTTTGGATCCAATCCGTTTGGTGGCTTCAGTTTTGTTGCCAGTCAGAGTCTGCTTGACAAAGTCGAGTTCATGTGATTATCATTGAAGAACACAATGGAGTTTGGACAGAGGTGCGAACCATACAATGAGGTGTGAGGCAGGGTTTCTGAATGATCATGCTGATTGGTAATTATATATTGCTCGTGTTGTAGAGACGCAGAGATGGAGGTTTCTCCTCCAATACATCGGTCAATACAGTCTATGTGCTTGTCGCTGCGGTGCTACTTCGTTTTTGGATCATGGGATGCACAGGACAGGAGCCGAGGATCTGTTTCCATACCCCGCGTCATTCCTCCTTTCAACATTCTCACGCGGTTCAACATCACCTTGTGAAGGCACTTTTATTGGGTATGCACATGCAACGTGCACATGCGGTGAACGTGTGAGCGACGACTGCTTTCCACTAGAGATCCGGCACCCATGAGATCAGCGGTGACGGATACCCAAGGCCATCGGCAGCGAAGCCATGCAGAGCAACCCAGGTCATTGAAGTCTGCAACACATCACGACAATGATCTGCACAACGGCATGGAGCCAGGTTGCGGCAATGAACACACGCTGCGAATCGAATGGGACATATCGCATTGCGTGTAACACACCTTGAGGATGAATGCAAGTGCTCGAGTGACTACAGAGAGGGGCCCGCCTCTGTCCAGTATTGCCCAATGTCACATGCATATGTAGATTTCAGGAACGGGGTTCGTGACGGTAAAGACTGGTTGTCAAAGTGCCTGAATGTGAATGATCAAGCTTTGATGATGAAGATCTTAAGTATCTCAGTCGCGCGTAATCATGTGTTCAGTCTTAACCAGAACCCTTCTCCTTTTCGGACTGATGAACCTGGACTGCCATCGAAACGTACAATGTTGGCCTATGTTCTGAGCACATGTGCTTTGGCCAGGGAGACAACATTCCAAGGCAGAGCCGCAAGGGAATGATCATACTTGTCCCTACTTACACCCACTCAGTACTGCTGCGCGACCGACGGTACCAAGAACTCCTGCCGGGCTTTTAGATGCGCATGATCCACCAGGGTATCGTATAAGTTTATAATTGGCTTAGCATGGATGGAGAGAGCAGGTGCGTCTTGCGACACACGACATATGACGATCGCTCATGTGGTCGACGGCAGTCGTTCCTGCCTTTCTAGACTCATTTGATAACGCTTCCATGGTTCAGCGTGTTTTCAACATCTCTGAATCGAGACACCGTCACTTCTTCATCGTGTCCACTCATCGCCATCATTGTTCTTGCTCTGGCTCTCTTTCTTGTAGTCCTCACAACCCACACTGCCCGCATACCACCACCAACTCGATATGCGTATACACGTTGTCTTCATTGGCATTCTCGTCTCCTGCACTTCTTCCGCAAGCTCGCAATCTCTGCCCGACGTATCAGGCGACAACGACATCCATGCCATCTCACGAAAGAGAGCTCAAGCAGTGAAAGAAGCCTTCGAGTTTGCCTGGCATGGTTACCATACCTTCGCATTTCCCAACGACGAACTTCTCCCTGTTAACAACTCTTATTCCAACTCCAGAAATGGCTGGGGTGCTACTGCTGTTGATGCTCTCAGTACTGCCATCTTGATGGAGTCACAGGATGTGGTCATGACCATCTTGGAGTACATCCCAACGATAAACTTCAACGTTAGCAAGGACAATTCACCGGTCAGCTTGTTCGAAACGACCATTCGCTATCTTGGTGGAATGCTTTCTGGTGTTGATCTTTTAGACGGCCCTTACCAGCATTTGACCCAATCGCCAAACGATACTATTGCCCTGACATTACAGGCTGTCAATCTGGCCTCCAAGATGGAGTTCGCTTTCGACACACCGACAGGCATTCCCGCCAACAATATCGACTTCAAGAAAGAGAGTTTCGACATCTCTCAATCGACCGGACTTGCTGTCGCTGGTTCGTTGGATCTCGAATGGACTCGCCTATCAGACTTGGTTCAGGTACCAAATTTCGCGAACCTGACTCAAGACGCCGAACAGTATATTATTTACCCCAAATACGAGAGCAACACGATACAACCATACCCCGGTCTTCGCGGCACAAACATCGACCTCAGTACAGGTGAATTCCTCGATGTGATGGGTGGCTGGGGCGGTGGTGACGACTCTTATTACGAGTACCTCATCAAGATGTTCGTTTACGATCCCGTGAACTTCTCTGCCTACAAAGATGAATGGCTCAAAGCAATTCATTCCTCAGCCTCTACCGAGATCTTCTCACATCCTTACTCTCGTCCCGATCTGGCCTTCCTCTCTAACTGGAATGGACAGGATGCAATCCTCAAGTCCGGTCATCTCGTTTGTTTCGCTGGAGGAAACTGGATCCTCGGCGGATTGGTATCGGAAAATCAAACTCTGATTGACCTGGGCCAAAGTCTCACTGATAGCTGCATCTCAACTTACAATGCTACCCTCACAGGTATAGGTCCTGAAGCTTGGAAGTGGGAAGACGAGAATTTGTTCGAGGATGAAGATGAAGTGGTTGACATGTTCATTGAGGGCAATGGCTTCAACATTACCAACCCCAGCTACGACTTGCGACCTGAAGTTCTCGAGTCACTTTACTATGCCTACCGCGCCACGGGTGACAAAAAGTACCAAGACTTGTCCTGGAAAGCTTTCCGAGCCATCAACGCCACTTGTCGTACTGGATCTGGCTTTTCGTCAATCACAGATGTCAATGCACCACATGGAGGAAGCTTCACCAACTTCCAGGAGAGCTTCATGTTTGCCGAGACTTTCAAGTATGCTTGGTTGATCCAGGCAGAGGATTCCAAGGTACATGTTGGGAAGATGGGGGAAGAGCAGACTTGGGTCTTCAACACTGAGGGTCATCCTTTCAAGGTTCGGGCTCAGCAGCAAATGTGAAGGTGACCGAATGTGTGGAGTGCGTTAAGGATGATGTTCATGTATGGTAAGTAGTGGCTTAGAGAGCTCGAATTGAATTCCTATCAACTTTTTCACGCATCGCTACTGTTCAATATGATATGTACTGAAGGGTTTGCCGGTGACTATGTCTTATAAGAGGCTCTAGTGCCATGATCTATGCCCTAGAAAGAAGAAAGACTAGTATTTTGTTGCAGTCGAACATCGAAAAGTGTTTCTCCTCAGCAAGGATGTCGATGGAGAGTTTTTACTGATGGCCATCTCGGCAAAAGACTGACGCATTATTCTGTAAGCGAAAGCATATGCCATGAGGGTACGGAAGATGGTATTGGTTCTTTTAGGGTGTCCTTGTTTCTTTCGTCTCAGGTAGTATCGCGGTTTTGAGCCTTTCTTCCTGTGCGATTATTGAGCTCCTTGCTGTCTCTCTGTCTCACTAATGTAAGTGCATGTCTATCGCACTGCACTGGTTTATACTTGATCATCCACGTACAAGCAGAATACCATAAATTGGAGATTAGGTCTCAAATCTACCTTACATTCATCCTTGTACAGACTGAGCTTGACAGAATAGTCAAGAGTAATTTTGGCTCAAGCAATCTGTTACAAGATAGGTTCCAATAGCAATAATGGTAATCATGCACTAAGACCTTCGATAGTTTCTAACAAACCGCTAAGGACTTGAAAACTGTGCCATAAGCAAAGAAGTGCATTGAAACTAAACGGGGCATTTTTGTTCTGTTAGGGTGTTATGCTTTCATCGATCTAGTGGTATTTACGCTATTAGTCCCTATCATAAATTATTAACATATCTTTACAGCCCTCACTAGATCTCTGTGTAGTGAGATCCACCGTCATCTGATGATTCTAATGTCTATCCCTTCGTACTAGCTGATCTTTGATGATTTGTGGGCAAGTAGATTAGCAAAGCACAACCTGGATTCTTGTCGCTTGGTAGAACAGAGTCGCTAAATTATATCTTGATTTTTCTTCATATCTGTTTCTTTCGGAAACGGCCAAGTTTGACTGGGAGCGAAGTTAATGACTACTTGTGGGTAGAGGATAGCAGTTGGTTACGAAGAGCCATGATCTTTCACTCCATGATACATGGATAAAAGAAAAGCAACAATCAGGAAGTTACACACATGCTGCCCTGTTAACACTACGACAGATAGAAAAGACAAGATACGATTCACAAACAAAATGCATCCCACCACGCACCCAAAGCTCCACCTACGAAAGCCCCCACCAAACCGACCATCTTCGATCCCCCGCCCCTTCGCAATCCCTGGCCCAAAAAGACGAAAAATACCTCAAAAATGAACAATATCTTCTTCTACGATCCTGTCTCCTCAAATTATCGCAAAAGACGATTTGACACGGACAAAAGAGTAAAAAGTATCGACGCCTGTGTGATTCGAACACACGCTCCGCAGCTTCGCGCCGGCGTCGAACTTTAAGCGGAGCGAGAAAGTTTGACGTCGAAGGCGCGAGGATGTAAACAACGATAAACAATGAATTCCTAGTAAGCCAAGTTACAATAGACCATCGTAGAAGTTGTTTCTAATAAAGAAAACCACGTGTTTCTATGTGATGAATTAAGTTTGTTCGAGTTTAAGATTTGCGTTACCTATTCGTCGTAATGCTTACTAGGGGAGTTTAGACTCGACGACTGCGTGATCTCCAATCTTCGTAGGCTTCCGAAACACTACGTACTACCATGGGGAAAGATTAAGTCGTGTTGTTGTTTCCGTATATGCTAACAGTTATGGTATAATCGCAAAAACACATAGCACTTTTTCTAATAAAGCAATATCCACCGAGAGAATTGAATATCTAGACATTTTAATGGCTGCATCTCTAAGTGCAAAAACACTGTGTATTTTGATATCGAGTAGACTATCTTAATACTGCATAACGTTATAGGAGAAGGTTAAACAAAAATTGTGGAGGCGGACATGCAAAAAGATCGATGCCTAAGAGATTCGAACTCTTGCTCCCGAAGGAAATGCCTTAGCAGGGCATCGCGTTAACCACTCCGCCAAAGCGCCTTGCCGAAGATCCAAACTTTTCCCAATCGGGAAGGTTCGGATTCGGGGTTATCCTGAGATTGGTCAGATCTCAAAGCTGGAT